AGGCGGCGGGTAGCGATCCGGACGCTGCTGCGGAAAGTCTGTTATTCACAAATCCGCCCAACGGCTCTAATCATCTAGGGGACTGGGGCATCTCTAGGAGTAGGACTCTGAAAAATCTTTATGTGCCATTCCAGATCTTCGCTCCATTGCAACAACTGTTCATTATCTCCGCCTTTTCACGGTGGTTTGTGCTCTATATTTCCCTTCATATACGGTGGTTGCTAATGCTTGTTAAACTTTGATATGTTCACAGACTTATCAACTTGCGAAAGGATGTCACCAGTCTGTGGGTATTAGAGCAGATCAAGTAGAATTCACTATTCCGTGAAACGTGTAGAGAAGATATCCTACGGATAATCGAAGATGCCTATAACGAGTGCAATCTGCAGTCACCGTTGTGAGACTATGACACTGCTGAGATACCAGAACGCCAAGTTTCTGAGATTCTGGCAGAATAATTCCGTTGGATCACGGATCCTTCATCGAAGAATCCTCAAGATGACCCGCCTTGAGTGAGTGAGGCGTCGCTTTGGAGCTGAGTAGATTGATTCCACAGGAATCACTGTCTCGTGCTCCGAGTGTCTTCTTGCCTGGCAGTAGGATTAGACATGCAAGAGAATCACATTTGATGTGAACGTCTCGTTATGATACTTTTAACGAGGAGTTTAATCGTCCCACACCACCGAGGACTGAGGAGCTCGGCGGATTCCCATCAGGAAAACTATGTGTCCAGTATCATTATGTTGGAACTTATTAGAATCTCGCTGATGTATTAACGAGGTTAGTCCGTTTCTCGAACTGGAGCCGACTCTAAGTTCTCGATGGAGCCGGACAATTGATGCCGACAGACGGAGTCGGGTAACGCAGGGAGTTGCGATCGAGTTCCCTGATTCGGGGAACTCGGTCACGAGTTGTGACTTACAACTTCTTGCTTTACAGAGACCCTGATGCAGAGGGCTCGTCTCTGGTGATCAACGACCACACTCTTCCATGATCACGCGTGTCTGAGTCAGGACTTGCTCACGCGGATTCTCTGCTTCCGGCTCACGACGCAGATATGTGCATTCTCGAGAGCTTCTCCTGTAGGTCAAGAGGGAGGTCATCAATGGAGTCCGTCCGTAGAACGACGATGAGTTACGATCTAAGGCGGTGTTTGCTGTGAACGAAATGGGACGAAACCAATGCCACGAAATGTTGAAGTCTCCTTGGTAGCGCTGTCGACTCGACATTTTTAGTTCAGGGCACTGAACTAAAGCGAGCCAGACCCTTATACTAGCAGTTTCTACTCATCAATGATGAGCCAACATTGCGTTACCTTGTTTATCTGGCACTGTTGAAGCTCTCAAATTTTCGTGAAATTGAAAAGTTAATTACTGCAACTAGTGCACGGTTCTTGTCCAGGTTGCCGGCCCAATAGAGGAGCAGGCTTTCAACGTTTCTAATGGACGTCATTCGTTTTGTGTACGTCAATAATCAGTGTTCAATGCGCACATCTTTTGCATCGGCGCGGCAACTCATTCGATCGTCCAAGTCACCAATGTGACTTTTAGTTTCGGTTAATACTAATTACCCATGATACGGCTATACACGTCAGCACGTGTCATTGTTTTGGATTTATTATTCGTTTTTCACGTCGATGCAAGCAAGCTGCATGGCGATGCCTTATGTCAGAGAGCTTGCAAACGTCGTCATGATTGTGCTCGAAGCTGGTGCACGCCAATGGGTTTGTGCGAAGGTCTCACTGAACCCAACAAGAGCGATCCTATTCGTTGCACGCCCGTATTCAAGACGTGTTCTGACGTTTGCAATACTGTAAGATCCTGTGAAAACAGCTATTGGGGGTCATACTGTCGCGCGTGGGAGGAAAATCCGTCTTGTTACGGCCTTTTCATCAGAAACTCTGTAGTTTGCCATATCTCCGATTCCACTTGTGAAGGCGAGCCTGTCTCATGTCAGATGGGCTCCCCGTTTGTACTTTAAACCACGTAGGCATTTATTTGTGCAAAGACTCGTCGTGATTTCCCCTCCTCATTGTATCGACCTATTTCTTACCGTGCATCACTGCTTCAGTCTAATGTTGTAATGACTGAGCTGCGTGAGTGGATGGCATCAGTAATGGCACTTCGGTAATGACTACTTACAAAGAGAGGAGCGGTCAAGCTAAGTCTCGAGGAACCCAAGTCCAGTCTCGCTCGCCGTGACCATGTGAACGTTTCATCCGTGAATATATTCTCGCCTCGCCAACACAATTAGATTCCTTCGACAGTGATTCATTACTGTTGAGTGAATGCGGTGTACGGATGTCGCTCTCATGGTTCCGTGACGCCTTTCAGTTGATATATCAAACAGTTTTATTCCAATGCGCATCGTTCCTTTCTACTACTTGGTTGTCTTTGCCCTGGTCAATCCCGTTACCGCTGATGATCCCTGTCAGAAACTCTGCGATGACACGCCAGGTTGTGAGCTTTCATACTGCATGTCATGGAAGGTGCCGGCAGCTTGCCATGACTTGTTGAATCGCACAGATGGATTTCTATGCTCGGCTTCATATGATGCCACGTGTGGGGGCTCTCCCATCGAATGTGGCGATCCGATCATATCCTCTCCGGGGCCTACTGTGACTACAATCACTACCACAACTGAATCCACCGTCTTCATTCCAATCGTGTCTGAAGAAGCTCTCAGTGGCACTTGGTGCTCTGCCGATCTTAGTCAGCCTGATGTGACCCCTATAGAGGTTGTTAGTTTTGCTGGTGACAAAGTCATGTTCCTCTACGATGGTGAAGTTTACTACAAGCAGTACTACTATGAGGCGAATCAGGTGTATGTCTATGGTGAAGACTGGGAGGTTGAGCAGAAGATCGGAAAGCCTTTCGCAGATCTCCGATTTGCGTACTTCGGGGACAGCATGCTTGCTATATGGTCAGAGATCGACAGATCGAGGCAGGGTAGACGCCTCCCTCAGAATGGGGAAGTCGTCGGCCATCTCACTAGAACTGGCGTTGACCTCGACTGTGATCCACTACCCGGTGCCGAAGCACCGCCGCCTAGTGTAGATGATATCGCCAATACGAGATGGTGCAACGCTGGAGAGCCTGAAAAGCAACAACCCGTCGAGTTGAGGTTTACTTCGAGCTATGCTATTCTTTATCTGCCTCTGTCCTCGATTATCTTACCCGCGAAGTTTGAGGTCAGAGGGAATAGTTATGATATTAATCTGTACGAGTTGGACGAAGGTTTTGAAGCTCTGAGCGATCTTGGTAGTGGCAACTTCGAGATTATCTACTACGGAGACTGGCTTTTCATGGTCTTTCAAGATGGGCAAGGCAGAGGGCCTCTTAGACTGGACTTATGTTGAAGTCCTAGGTATGTTCTTTTTCCTTATTCTTAGATTATCCATCGGCAGTAAGTGCTATCTTTTTTCACTCGCATCCCTAGGATATTTCTCGGCAACAAGAATCTTGTATCCGAGTTGGTCTACTGTTCGTAATAAATTTGTGTTTCCCTGAGGGATGTGGCTTGGACGTTTCCACTCATAGATGTTGTTGAGTTTTCATAAGCATCCCGGTGTCAATTCAGTGGGTCTATTGCGCTTGAATTAGCAATCTTGAAAGGGTTACTTTTGCTACTCTCACTACCGTACTGTGGAAGGATTCGACAATGTCATAATGGCAGAAAATAGAATATAGAAATTCCTTGGTTTCACCGTGAAGCATATCGTATACCTTGATTCATGCTTTTCGAACTTGAAAATTGACGATGACGAAGAATGAAACGGTTGAATGTATGGCTCTAACTTTAATGTTCGTGACAATCGAGGAATCATGTAACTTGATCAAACATTAGTGCTGTAATTAAGACTCTTCATCCGGAAGCATGATGATTCCGTCCGGCGATGCTACGCAACGCATTGGTCGTGACCCAAAATAGGCTTAATTGGACCCGCCTACGTTCATTGGGATAAAAATCACTTCTAACACGTAGATACAGCAACGACACATGGTGTGAAAAGATTCATCAACTCGTTATTAGGAATTACTTGAATTAGGCGAATGCAACCTCAAGGACAATTTCACGATGGGCTGAACGTTCCGGGTGTTCTACAGTAGAACATCTACTGATAGTAATTCATCAGTGAAACTTCTCCTGAAAAACTAACGTTGTGAGCAGGCCCATGAACTCATCAACCTGTGAGTCTTCTTAATCGCTCAAGCAGCCCGAAGTTACTTGGGGGATCCCGGTACTGAATAACAGAACCCAACGTGCGCCTTCTGAACACGAGGCAACGGCTGAAAAAAGTAACATGCTAGTTCTGGGGATGTTCCAAATTGAAGATCTCGCCTCCTCTTCCATGGTGTTGAGGCTGACCGAATAATTTGAATACTCGCTAACATCGGTGTTCATAATATCTCTACGACGTGTTTGAAACTCGGCATCACCACTGGCAACGAGAACTAAGCTCAGCTTAGTAAGCTATGTCGAATATATTATTATCAATCGAGGGAGGCTTCATTGATAAAGACTCTTTATTAAAAAGTACAACTATGACGATTCGACACTGACGAACAATGTCAGTTGGGGAAGCTTTTCTCATGCAGTGTCCAACACAAAGCCACCTCCAAACGCCTTCTCTCTTTGGTTGTCTCGACAGCCAATGTATTCTCCTCCTGTCGCAGTTGATCGCCTGAAAGATTTGCTGCTGAGCGACTCAGACGTTCAGATGCTAACGTGACGGCAAAAAAGTGGCCATTCTCATTCAGTGGCCTCACTGAGTCGTCTATATTCCCCAATAGCTTCTTTGGTGGTACTTATGGCTTCGGCCCCTTCCTTTAGCGCACGCTCGAGACTTCTACTGTCATCGCTTCTAATCCCAGAACGCGACATTCTAAATCGAGCACACTCACTAATTATGAGTGAGCCCGATTTAAGATGTCTCATGATGAGTCATAATGAGGTCAACTAAGTAAGATAAACGAAAACGCACTTCTACTCAGGCGAGTCTCCTCAGGAGACACGATCGATGGAGAATAATATTCATAATTAGCCAGAGGAAGAGCCAATACGGATACGGATGTAGAGGGGATGTAGATACTTCTTCGCTCATAGATGATACTATACTAAGGGTGGATATCTACGTTGAACATTGACGGCGTCAGCGAAGTAGGCGGGGACGTTACTTCAATTGCACTTTTACACGGCCAGCCACGGAGTCGTCTCCCTGAGGGCTCAGCGCTGCATAGGCTTCATCATCAACGACGTTCTGAAGGGCGACTGAGCTGAATCGACAGCACGGCACTTGCCTGCGAGTTCGGCGGAAACTCATCGAATTCACGGGACTCCTCTTGGATGATCGGGGTCTCTGATCAGCGACAGGGTTAGCTCCTTCAGTTACTGAAGTTCAGTATCGATTGAAAGAGCCTTCTGGTGCAGCTTTTGCCCTCGGCCATCATCGCTAATACGTCGCCCCCACCGAGATTGAGATTCCTATGGGAGGTGTCTGGGAACTCTGGAACGGAACCTGACCGTGGGGTGGTAAGCAAAACACGCTGTTGATACTGCGTCACGAGCAAGCATCAACAATATCGCATATGCTGTGATACGTTGATTGGTAGCTCCACAAGAGAGGCTCCCTTTACGAATGGTCCAGAAGGCTAACAACGAGACAAGGGATTTCCTGAATTCGTTGCTGAGCCTCATCCGCGACTTTGGGAAAGCCAAGAACATGCAGTATAGCGCCGTTTGTGTTACAGCGTCGTAGAACTACCAAGTGACGGGCAGCACTAATTCAGGTGGTCTGGAGGGTATGAAGCTCCCACCTCAAAAAAGAATTCCCGTCGACTGGGATTAATAACGTCCAACAACTCCACGGAGTTTGCGGATATTCTGTCGAAACGTTTGACTGCGGCTGCACGATAGAGTTCAGGTTTGAAGTTATGACAAATACAGAACCTACGGAAGACATGGAAGCATTAACGGTATGTTGTTGGCCACCAAAAGCTGTCACAGACGACGGCTTGGCAAACAGCCGATAGGAAATCGTCTGCCCAAGCTGCCCGAGCTTTGGCCGTTCGCCCTTGGCACGTCAAATCGGCAATGACGTTCATCAGCACCTGTGTGCAATTGTTCTCGTGACTTTTCCAAGATCCGATAGACAGTAGCATCCCGAGTGGGTCTTCCGACGCAACGCACCTTCTTCGCTGGTATAGTTTTGGGCAGCGGGAAGAAGAGCGCATTCGAATTACTGAAATTCGGATCGTCAGGTAGGGGAGCGACAACGTCCTCAACACGGAAGGTGTCGAACACTGTGATTAGTTCTGAAAACGACACACGTTCTGTTGCTGACAGTATCTTTAGTTCATCCTACGGGGCCTGCTATTGTTGTTCGCCACCGTTCAATCGTCTCCCTTGCTTGTTGATGGAGCCTGGCTCTCCGACCTCCTATCAAAACCGACCAAAGAATCAAGCTAGTACAAGCAGCACGAATGACGCTCACAAGGTCGACGAGATGTTCACAGGCAGCAGCGACGAGACTTTCGTAACAGCAGCTGTTACGAAAGTCTCATCGCCGCTGCTTGTCATGTGACCACCGAGTAAATCGATACTACACAATCTCGAGTTCAAACCCAGTTCTCTGAAGACCTAGCGAGCTGCAGAAGGAATGTATGGAGCTAGTTGTCATTTTGTAGCTTTCGAGGACCGGAAACTACAGTTGAAGTCATCATGATGCGGTGTGACACCATCTCTGTCAGCTGCCATTCTGAAGGACCTCGGTCTCCCATTATGAAAACGAAGCCGCAACCAGCGGTCCTTTATAATTTAACACTCAATCGTAGCAATACTTTCGCTCAACTTACACAACCTACTAACAGTTTGTCATCTTGAACTCTGATATAACTCTTACTGAATTTTGGTTACTCCGAAAACACTGTTCTGTTGAATCAGCGCATCGATTTATCCGCTCCGATAGGCATTTCCCACGCAAATGATACATTCTCGAACTCCCATAAAAAGAGCTTCCGACCTAAATCACCATGATGTCACCACGCGATGTCATTAGATGTTGTCATGCATCATCGCAACTCATAGGTTGCAGTGCAGAGAAGTCGTGTCGTGATATGATCAGTCATGATTGGCTTGGAATTTAATGACTTCAATTTGATTTTCTTATCAGCGAAATCGGCTTACTTGATCATGAAATTGAGAGCCGATCCCTGAAAAATCACTGGAGTTTGAGACCTCGATGTTGGGCACGTCGCTGAAGTTTAGCGGCCAAACTTAGCCCCATATTCGACAATATGATGCACTCATGATGAACTCAAGAAGCTCTAATGTCTTTATACCTGTAAGATGAGTCCTAGTCTGCGGGAATAGTGAGCTCATCAACCGAGTAATAATCTCTCGATGTACTGAATGATTCGCCGAGTAGCCTTCTAAATATCTCTCTCGAAGACCATGCTACAAGTGGCGAATCCAGCCGGAGGTCTTCTCACGGAACGCCCATAGAATGATCAACGATGATGAGGGACATTCCGCTGTAGACCGTAAATTCAAGATCACAAAATAATGGGATTGATCATAGAGATCGCGGTTTCAGCTTGCCGATTCCGACTCGTTTAAGAGTAGGGTCGAACTCAAAATAATTCCCAATCAGCATACGATCGGAGAAACTCCAATTATTCTCTGCGTTTTTTGAGATAGTGAGTACACATATACCATTTCGATTCATGGCATAGTTTGTATATGTCATCGTGAACGGAGTTGTGCCCTGAGGACCCAAGTAAAACCTCAACGGCGGCAACTTGCTCATGTATTGGCAAGGGAAGTACCATTGCTCTTTCATTAGGTCGAACTTAAAGCCGACATGCTTACCCGCAGCTTTGTCAGTTTGAGTTCTAATATCCTTGATTAGATCGTCATGGTGTGATGTTGGGACGTATAGTTTATTGGCGCCGGTGTCGAGGTGTGAGTTCATATTGATTCCAGGAGTTATATGTCCATCACCGACTTGTAGCTTGTCAATATTAACCGTGTACCCTTCGTCCGTAGAAAAGTCGACATACTTCAATGCACCCTCATATAATGCAGAGTCGCCTCCACCCAGAAGTAGGCCTCCATCAGCCGATGCTTCCATGGGATCAGCGGCAGGATACAAGTAGAGAGCAATGATCCCGGTCGTTATAGTTTTTGATGATCGCAACTGCGTCATCAGAGACGGGAAGTTCACATCACCTTCATCATAGCCAAGACCCAACAAGTTAGTCGGAGGAGCTTCACTGACGGGAGGTTTCTGACCGGATATCAGCCCGAAAGTGAGGAGCTGCGACACCTGACCTATGGTTAGTTTCGATTTGTGCTGAGAAAAATTCACTGTGTATTTGTCCATGAAAGTAGCAGTTCCCGTAACTTTACCCACCGAGCAAGGCGCCGAGCATTCGTAACACCCCATGGGCCAAGTACTGCAGGAGTGCCCACTGGCTTTCTCGTACCAATCCTTCCAGATGAAGAAAGAGAAACCCGATCCAGTGTCAACGAGAGCATGTAGCTTCTGGCCATTCTCGCCGACCAGAGTATGATACAATCCGGGGCCGTATTGAGGCATATCTTCGTACTGCACATCCAGCTTGAGGGTTGCTCCTCGGGAGACCTCCAACACGTCAAATAGATACACCAAGGAGAGCAGTCGGACGGGCATAGGAGAACGCATTCTGGTCAATATTTTGGATCGCAATATAGCTGAGTGGCACGTCTTTGTCTCGCGGCTCGAGCTCACCTGATGAATCGCGGCAGCAAGCCTCGGCAACCAAAACCATCAAGAGAAAATTTAGCGTGTTAATTCGGTTTTAATCGGCCAAACGACCGAAACGATGTGATCCATCTACCGATCGAAACCGAAAACCCAGCGATGGTCCGGTTGATCTGCGACCCTAATTGTGCGGGCCTTAGATTTCTCATTTTTGTTAGCCTCGCTGCGTCGTGTCACGAGTGTCACGTATGCGTGTGTCTCGTGTACATCATTGTCTCGAAGACAATGTCTCATGCTCTCTATGTATCTTTTTACCCCACAGATGCCATGGCTATCTGATATTAGCATCATCTACTCCTGTCTCACATCAATTTCCCTTCGCTTATTCATCTGGGAAGGATGGCCACATCGTCAGGTCGCTGTGATTTGTGCGTGAAGGTGACGCACAAGGTCGTGTGCAAGTTGACCTGCACACGTGAATTAATCGATTCCCCCGTATACAATCCAGGCAAACCGCTCAGAAAGTATTCCTTCTTTGAAAGAAGTTCTTTCACGTTACATCGGCTACAAGTGTCGAGTTGCACAACATGTTTCTGGATCTTCCTCCTCAAGACAGTATACGTATGCTTATTATGTCGCGGTATCAGTTGATTAACTCTAAGGCCAACACAACAGGGGAACTCGAGCGAAGAGACTGGAAAATCACAGGATGAGGTAAGCTCATACCGCACAGTTATGGCGGCAGTCTCAGCTGCAAAA